GTGAGGAGAAGGAAGAGGACATCACCGGCTCCGCCCAACCTTGCCCCGCCGCCACGACCACGAAGCAGGCACGTCCACGGACGCCGCCGACAGCGAGGGAGAATAGTGCACGGTAGGTCACCGCCACTCGGGTCCCAAGAAGGCCGCCGCTCCTCCCATCCCGTTGAAGCCAAGTTTGGTGGGTTGAACATCAATGACCGATTAGCCACTTGACGGCGACGTGGAGGTGGACAGCTTTACTTCTCGGGACCCAGAGGCGGAGCTCAAGAGCATCGAGGTGGAACTAGAGAAGGTGAAACTTCAGTTCTCATGGCTCATGGCCAGACACGGGAACGGGCGCGGACGATCTTTTAGATTAGCTAAACTAATTATACCTTCAGAGTTGGACGAGCAGCGCTTAGTTGAAGTATGTATGAAATGTAATGAATTCTGTCATATTTATATAAATCCGCTGTATTTGTATGAATATCTTCTGGTTTGTTAAAAATCCGGTCGTGTAAACGGACAAAGTTGGATGGCGGAAATTTGCGTGTACCGTTGGGCATCTCCAACCGCGCCCCCAACAGGCCCTCCTCAGGCGATTTTGCCGCGCCGGCAACAAAAAAAGGCCCCAGTCGCGCCCCCAGAAGCCCGTTTTTCGCCGGCTCGGGCCAAAACTGGTGCCGGCGGACCCAGGCCGAACCCGGCGCCCTGGGGGCGCTTGGGGAGCCGGCGCAAGCGAAAAAGGCGCGTGGGCCCGCCCTGGAAGCGACCCGAGGGTCTTTTCCCGCCGTTTCTTGACACTTTTCCCTCGCATCTCTCCCGCTCGCTCGCCTTCCTTCCGCCATTCTATCCCTTTCTCCCGCTCGCTCTCGCCTTCCTCCCGCAAAACCCCCTCTCGCTCGCCGCGAAGAAGCACGCCATGCCGCCGAAGAAGTACGCCATGCCGCGCGCGGCGGCAACCGCGAGTGGCGCCGTGGCCCAGCCGAAGCCGAGGAAGCCGAGGGCGCCGCCATCGAAGCCACCAGGCCTGTCGAACACCGAGTGGAGGGTGGAAGTTCAGCGGCGCGAAGCGGTCACCACCGACAGGCGGAACAGGGCCATAGCCAAGAAGGCTCGCAACACCGCGGCACGCACGGCGACGTCTTCCTCATCGGTCGACCAGGCGGGGATGAACCCACCCGTCGTCAGCCACGCCCAGTACGCGCCTTGCGGACAGCAAGGCGCCGGATCTCCATGGGGTTCATCGTCGCCCGGCTGCTACGCCGACGGCGACGCGCACGACGGGTTCAACCCAAACGTGACCTTCCCTCATGGTCACCCCGCTACGCGCACGCCCTCGCCCGCCTTCGTCGGCGTGCAGTACCCTCCATACAACTACTCGCCGCCCGCCTCCTACGCGTCCACACCGACGCCCCATCTCTACCGCGGACCACTACCCTTCTCGCACCTCGGCGGCACCGACGACACGGGAGCCGACATGGACGACATCATCGCGACAGGATCAACCGCGGCCGCCGAGTCTCCCGGGTTCGCCACCCAGGACGAGGTGGTGGACCTCAACGGCGACATGGAGGCCGAGCTCGGCTACGTCTACGGCGACGACGCGTAGGAACCCGAGGAGGAGGAGGACGAGGAGGAGGAGGAGGAGGAGGAGGAACCGGCGCCTGTTCCGACGAAGGGGCGCCAGAAGAAGAAGAAGCGGGCGGCTAGGTCAAGCGAACCGCACATCAAGTGGACGTCCAAGGAGGAGGAATGCCTCGCCGAAGCATGGAAAGTCGTCTGCCTCGACCCGACCACCGGCGCGAACCAGAGCTTGGACACGTACTGGGACCGCATCAAGGCCGAGTTCGACGAGCGGAAGCTCGTCGACCCCTACTTCAAAGGCGTGTACATGCAGCGCGGCTCCAAGGCGATGGCGAACCATTGGGGGCGTATCCAGTTGGCGTGCAACAAATGGCATGGAATCATCGAGGAGGTCGCGGATCGCCCGGAGAGCGGCGCCAGCATTGAGGATCAGGTACGCACGCCGTTCGCCCGCATATCTTTGCCCCCTACACCCGCCAACTGTTTGTCTCTCCACGCAGCTGCTGCGTATGTTCGCCATGTATCGGGGCGACAACCAAGACGCCGACTTCAAGCACCTCCACGTCTACAAGCGCATTGACAAGTGCAAGAAGTGGGCGGAAGTCCGGTGTACCCTCGACAAGGCCAAGGAGACATACAAGCCAGACGCGACGACTCCGGGCGCGTCAGAGGGACGGCCGGACGGCCACAAGTTGGCAAAGAAGGGGAAAAGTGCCGACGCGGCAACCGCACGAGTGCAGAAGTCCATCGAGCATTGCCTCGCCGACGCCCAGGCCCGGGCCGTCCTACGTGAAGAGAAGACCGAGGCGCGGTGGTCGTCGCTTATGAAGAACAACGCCATCAAGCTCGACCTGCTCCGGACGAACGTCGCCGCGAAGAAGAGGAACACCGACATGGCTTTTCTGATGAGCGGGGCGGACATGCTCCAGAGCAACGACGAGAAGCTCAAGGCGTGGTACCTGGTGCAACGCGGCCTCATCCCGAACGAGCTGCCGACGGCAACGCCGACGACGCTGATGACGCCCACGACCACACGGACGCCAAGCCCGGACGGCGCCTCTACATCGCCGCCCAGCTGTGCCGAAGCCGCGCCGACGCAGCCCAGCGACGAAGCAGGTCCGACACCGACGAGCCCGCGCACGCCGACTCCGCCAACGCCTGGAGCCGACTAAGCCGAGTGATTCGTTGCGCACGGCGCCCCTCTGTTTTTTGTAACGCCAGACTACGTCCGATCGCCGGATTTGCGGCGTCTTTTGAGAGCGGAAACGACCAAGTTTGAATTTCCCGCATCCTGGTGCCGGCGCGTGGGGGCGTGACTGGGAGCTAGGTCGCCCTCAGGGGCCGAACTAGCGCCGGCACGCCCCCAAGCCGCTCTATTTAGGCGCCCTGGGGGGCCGAACGGCTGGAGATGCCCTTACCTGATGTTCTATGGAAAATGGTCTCAAATACTTTATTTATTGTATGTATAGAAAAAATGCTTTATTTATTTTACACATAGATAGTAGAAACGATTATGTTCCTCCCAAAGTCCCACCTCTGTATGTTTCAAAATAAAAGAAGATTAAACAAAAGAAATCGTAGCTAAAAAAAAAAGACCGCATAGCATCTCTGGCGCTGCCTCGGCGGCCGGCGCCGTGGTCACCGGAGCCTCCGCCATCGGCATCCCACGCCGGAGCTGCCGCAGCCAACAACGTACCACTCTGCAACTGCTGACTCCGCCACCGCCGTCGACGTTCCACGACGCGCCTCTTGTTCTCTCGTCCCCGATCTCGGGGTGGAACTGCAGCTGGCGCAGTGAAGGAGAGGGGAGAGTAAGCCGATCTTGTTCCAGGCCACGCTCGCATTAGCGGTCGTCCTCCCACCTCCCCACGTCAGACACCCCAAGTTCTGTTGCTACTGATCGAGACTACGTTGCACACAAGGTGTTTGAGGTAATTCCCCTTCATGTTTGTAGTTCATGTTACTTCTTCTTTTGTCTTTATGCTAGATGTTCTGTATGAAGCATCATTTTGCTATGATACGATGTAGTGTGGCAGTTTGCCCTGTTGAAATTTGTGCATGTTCGTTGTCAATACTGGATTTTTTGGCGCTGTCAATACTATGCCATGTTCGTCATATCTAGAGTTGTGGATATTTTGTGCCTCTACGAACTTTGTGGCGTTCTTCAGATGTGCCCCGATGACATTTCGGAGGCAGTTTGCGAGATGGCACAAAATGGTTTTGGAGGCGATCTTCAGATGCCACAAAAATGTTTTGAAGGCAATTTGAAAAACGCCACAAATTTTTTTTTAGGCGGCATGAGAAATGCCCCATATGAACTTTGGATGCCTTCTTAAAAATTGCACAAATTGTGCTTGTAGGCGTTCTGAAAATGCCTCCATACTGTGTTTCTCAGGCGTTTCAGAAAAGTGTCTTAGAAGGCCTCTTGCCTTCATGAATATCTCTAGCGGAATTTGAAAATGCCTTCAAATGTCTAGGCCATCATTTTATAGGCCTTGAGGCATTTGAGAAATGCCTGCTAACAGCGTACGTGTTTTAGTGGTACTTCAAATGTAGTGGCAGTGGTGATGAGTGAAGTGAAGAGATTGCGCCCAATGGAATTGTGTTCAGAGAGATTAGGTCGCTGATTATGTTGAACTTATGCCGTGTTTCTTTTGTGTTTTGCCAGTGAAGTTGCTGTGCTTTCCAATTAATGGAACAGATTAAGCTGGTAATACTGTGCAGAGAGGTGAACGCATTGATGTGAAACGTCGCAATGCACTACAGGGGTTAGGAGAATCCCGTGGATGCCACCGCTGGCTCAGAACTACGGACCACTCTCCTCCCCTGGCTCCTTGATACGGGACTCCTTCTGGCGATTGATCAGCCTCGGCGGACCCGTCTGCCTTTGTCTCAGCAGTGCACTCCTTGCTGGCCATTGCCTCGCCTCGCCACTAGGTTTGTCGGATTTCGCCCAAGGATACACTTGTTGGAACAACCAGTCAGCGGTGGTGGATTGGATGTGTCTCGGTCCTTATACATAGCCTGGCAGAGGGCCTTGTTTTCCTCGTGATTCCTTTCTTGCGAGTCCGATCCGAGTTCTTTCCCACCGGTCTAGTTTATCGTCAGATCTGTCAACCACCCGCCGCCGCGCCTATACGACACCAACACCTCTCTTCCTCCGTATCTCGAACGTTTTAGAGGTTTCATTCATCATCTGTTCCAGATTCATCATGTCCTCTGACTAGAACAAAAGAGCACACTTCATCATAGAAAGTAATAGCAATATAGCATATGCTTTACTTTTAGAAAATTAAGTAATGTCTCTCTTTTTTTCCAATTTATAACCAGAGTAATATCAGGTGAGATGTTGAGCTTTTTGATGTCTGACTCTGTTATCACTTTTTTGATGTTTCTATGTAACTTCTCTTGCAGACAGAGGCTAAGATAGTTTGATGACAAAGAGAAGTATTGGTTCAGATGAAGACCTGCGTCTGCATAGAACAATGGTGAAACGAAAGAAACAAGGGCTTCAACTGACCAACCTGCCAACGGTATGGAATATCCAAATGGACTCATGCCAAGTTGTAATCTAACTATATCAGTGTGCTTTCCTTTTCCTTCCTTCGCGCCATAATGCAGAACAAGTCCGCTTATTGTTCTTGTTCAACAATCTAAATGCCGTTTGTCTTTGCTGTAGGATATTCTCTGCAGTATCCTGTCACAATTGCCGATAAAAGAAGCTGTACGGACGAGCATACTGTCAGAACAGTGGAAATGTCTTTGGCATCACCACCCAAATCTAGTATTTACTCTTAGCTCGATGTTGCCAATTCCTCGTACCTTACCGTTAACACCCAATGATGATGAGCCAAGGAAACATGAGTTTATTCAGAGAGTCGATGCAGTCCTACAGCAGCACAGTGGTGTGGGGGTTGAGAACGTTCAGTTTCGGGCTCCATTTGAAGATGACCAAAGGGATCAGATAAATAGATTGGTGAACTTTGCTATTGCATCCAAGGCGAAACAGCTTATATTTGATTTCTTAACTGCCAGCCCTATGAGGCCACCATATAACTTCGATTTGCGGCTTCTCGATGACAGTAATAGTTTACACTTGCGATATGTAAAACTCTGTTCCGTTTCTCTCAAGGTGCCTGCGGATTTCAACGGTTTTCAGAACCTTAAATGGATTTGCTTGGCAGGCACGAATATTACCGATGATGACCTTCAACTTTTAGTGTCCAGCTGCTGTGTTTTGGAGTTACTTGGAATTGCTAGCTGTAGAATGCTTACAAGGGTACAGCTATCTCATCCTTCAAATCCACTGAAGCATTTGCACGTACATGACTGTCGCTTGCTTCAGGCGATGGAGTTAAACTTTGGTCTGGTAGAACTTGAGTACAGTGGCCCATCGATACTGTTGTCAGCTCCTGGAACTTTGCTTCTCAAAAATATGTGCATCGAGTTGAATGATATGTGTCCTTCTCTGGAATACATCTCTACGAAACTTGATAATAACGTGCCTCGTCTTGAGATGCTGACTCTTCATTGCACCGAGTCAGAAGGTTTGCGATCCACCGTTCCTATTTCCAGTTTTTTGTGCATCCCTATTTGATTTTTCTTGAGGTGAATTTTCCTTATCGGTTTTCATATTTATTTATCTGTGTGTTTCAGAGGACTTCGTTGCCAGGAAAGCTGCACAAATTTTCTTATCTAAAGCACCTGAGACTGGAGCTGACTTTTTTGGGTGCTCCGAGAAGCAAGAGTGATATCCTCGATTTCGCCTGCCTTCTAATTGCTGCTCCTTTCCTGGAAAAGCTGGAATTTCACGTAAATCTGCATTTCAAGTCTTCAAATATATTTTGGAAGATATTTGGCTCGT